TAATAATAAATAACAAAAGATTTCTATCTATCTGTGTATCTATCTCATTATCATCTATGTTTCTAGGTATATTTATATCTATCATCTCTTTATTTGTCCATGTATCTATCTTTTCATCTTTATATCCTATCTATTTCTCTGGAAAACCCTGACTAACAGCATGAGGATTCCACAAAAATGTCATAGAAGCCACACAAATATGTCTTTTCGCATGGCCTTACCACTACACTGCTGGACTGAAAGGTGAAGACTGGATGTCTAGTGGTGAAGTATTGCCAGGGTAACCATCTCTATAGGATGCAATGTCTTCATCCAGAAAGCTGAGAGAGGAGATCATATGAAGAATGGCAAATAGATCTCATTTACGTCCCATCTTCCATCCATGAGTAATGGTTTCCAGAAACACTGTGCTGATTTTTCCCCCACTGTCAATGGCAAAAATGAGAAATAAATGCATGGGCTGTGTGCAGTGGATCTCGTCTGTAATCCCAGCACTTTTGGAGGCCAAGGCGGCCAGATCACCTGACGTCAGGAGTTCAAGACCAGTCTAGCCAACATGGTGAAACCCTTTGTCTACTAAAACTACAAAAATTAGCCTGGTGTGGTGGCAGGTACCTGGGATCCCAGCTATCTGCGAGGCTGAGGCAGGTGAAGGGCTTGAACCTGGGAGGCGGAGGTTGCAGTGAGCTGAGATTGCACCACTGCACTCCAATCTGGGAGATAGAATGAGACTCCATCCCCAAAATAAAACAAAATAATAAAAGAAAAAAAGAACACTGTGTTGAAAAGGATTCTGAGGTGCTGTCTGAGGTGGGAATGGGCATGGGGAAGGGGGCAATGACCGGTAGCTGAGCCTGCTAAGTGGTAGTGATTGGCCCACCTGTGTTCGTGTGAAATCTGACCTCTTAGCAGTGTTTGCCAGAATTTTCACTCTGCTTAAATGCTTTTGTTTCTTCATGTTGAGACCCCACGTGCTACTGGTTTTCCGAAGACTCACTGGCGGCTCCTCCTTGGCCTCCTTTCTCCGCTCCAACTCTTCTGCTTAAGTTTCAATATTGGGCATGTCACAGTCTCTGGGCTGGGCCTGGGTCACGTCTTCGTCACTATGTGAGATTACTCTCCCCAGGGGATCTCAGCTAGCTCTGGGGCTTCATACAACATCTGAATGTCAATGAACCGCAATTTTATATACCCAACCATAAATTCTCCTAGAAGTCCAGTCAGGCCTGGAACAGAGCACATGCTGGATCTACCTGCAACTGGCAATTTAAATATGACGTGTGCAAAACAGAACTCTTGCGGTTTACCTGAAATCTGCTCCCATCTGTCTTTTACTATCTTTGCAAAAGGCAACTTCATCAGCCCACTTGGCCAGGTCAAAACCTTGGAGTTCTCCTGGATTCCTGAATATTGCTTTTCCCTGACTATGCCCCTCATCCATCAGCAGGCTCTCAGGGTTCCGTGTAAAACTAGGTCCTGACTTGTCAATTTCTCTTCTTCTCTGCCATTCCCACCTCAGTCCAGGCTACAAGCCAGCCCCTACAGGCTCACTGTGCCCCTGTGTCTTCCATGTCCCATGCCCTCCCTGCCTCCTCTCCACACAGCAGCCAACAGCAGCAAGAGCCAGCCTCCGAAAATGAAAGCCCGATCTTTCCATTGCCCACTCAAATACCCTCTGGGGACTTCCCATTCCTTTAGAATCAGATACAAACGCCTTGTCCTTTGCCCCTATTGAGGCCGCAGTCTAGAAAGACATGTAACAAGTAAATAATGATAATATAGTGTGTTAACTGCCAGAAAAAGAAATGGGAAAGCATTCTGAACCTGGGGAGACTGGGAGAGATTGAGAGACGGAGCAGGAGAAAGAAGAAAAGAAAGAAAAAGAGAGGGAGAAGGGAAATAAGGAAAGTGAGGGAGCAAGGGAAGCAGAAAGAGGGAGAGAGAAAGGGGCCAGGCATGGTGGATCACACCTGAAATGCCAGTACTTTGGGAGGCCAAGGGTGGCAGATCACTTGAGCCAAGGAGTTTGAGACCAGACTGGCCAACCTGGCAAAATCTCGTCTCTACTAAAAATACAAAAATTAGCTGGGCGTGGTGGCGCAAGCCTGTAGTCCCAGCTACTTGGGAGGCTGAGGTGGGAGGATCGCTTGAACTTGGGAGGTGGAGGTTGTAGTGAGTTGAGATCTCACCACTGCACTCCAGCCTGGGTGACAGAGCGAGAACCTGTTTCAAAAAAAAAAAAAAATAGGAGAAAATGGGAAAAAAGGATGGGGAGAGAGAAAAGGGGATGGAGAATGAGGAGGAAAGAAAGATGGGGGAGAGAGAGAAAAGAAGGAAGGAAGAAAAAGGGAAGGAGAGAGTGAAAGGAAAGAGAGAAGAGAGGGAGCAAGGAAAGGAGAGAGAAGGAAAGAAAAAACAGGAAGGGGAGAAAGGGAAGGGAAGAGGGAGGAGGAATGAGGGAGAAAGAAGAGGTGAAGAAAGGTAGGGAGACAGAGAAAGGGGGGAGAGAGGGAGGGCAAGAGGCAGAGCGAGAGAGGAGACTGGGAAGGGAGGTAGAGGATGGGGGAAAGGAGGAGGGAGAGATGCACATTCCTTACCTTTACTATCTCCTTTCATCCTCATGGCAATCCTGGAGGGCTAGGCACAGAGTGGTAAGACATCTGCCCAAGGTTACCTGGCTGCTCTGCGTCAGGTTCAGCACCCCAAAGTCCAGAGGACTGCACCACACTGTCTCCACAGAAGCCAGCCGCACCCCGTTCACTCTCCTCCCTGGACAGCTCCTGACACCCCACGTTATTACTGTCCCCACACGGGACACCTTGACACACCCAGGCCCCACCCCAAGGATACCTCCAGCAAGCACAGGATCCTGCAGCGGCATTTCCCAAATGTGAGTAACAAGGAACCCAATTAAATGAAAGACACACACACACACATACACACACACACACACACAAACACACACATGCATACACACATGCCCCCCCACATACACATAAACACACATACATGCACACACATATACACACATACGTACACAAAATCACACATACACGTACATCCCACACATACACTCTCACACACATAACACAGACTTCACATGTACACACATAAACTTATACACAGACACACACGTAGCACATACACAGACGTACACATACACACACACACACACACACACACACGCTGAGGCCCCTGAGAACGTATCCCTGAGCTGCAGTTTGAGTGAAGAATTAAACAGTAAACCCTGATCCTTTTGGGACCATCTAGCACCATTAGCACCATATCCGGGAAGGCAAATGTGGACAGTGACCTGAGTGGCATTCCTGGCTATTTAAGGGTCCCCCTCAGCCCTGCAGTGACTGTGTGCATGATTTTAGAATACTGTCAGTAGAAAGTGCTAAACTGAAGAATTCTAGAATTCCCAGATCCCTGAGAATAAATCAACTCACAGGCGATCCCGCCTCCTGGCTCAGCCTTCCCCAGGGTCGCCGCTTCTGCGCCCTCTAGTGACCACGGGCGCGTATCGTACTCCTCCGGGACCTGATTCTGCGCCCCCTCCTCTGACCAGGGAGAACTGGAGGCGGGACTGCAGAATGAAAGGATAAAAGGATAAAAGGAAACCTCCAAGCCCCTTCCTGTTGTGACTTTTGCCCACTGCCAGCCACCTCGCCGATTCTCCTTCATCTTACTTCATCCTGAATGCATCCTACAGTAATAGCAACTGTTTGAGGCGAAATAGTGAGTTGGGAGGAACGTGAACTCAGGAACTAAGCCGCCTGGTGTGCACGCTAACTGCATTACTTAGTTTTGTAATCTTGTGCAAGTTAATCCATTTCGGCCTCAGTTTCTCATCTGTACAATGAGAATAGTAATAGGCTACGCCTCGCAAGGGCGCAGAAGCAGGTGACCTGGACACATGAAATGTGTAGAAAGTAAATCTGTAAAGAAGCGGAGCCTTGGTGAACTGCTGTGTATCATATCGCTTTGGGGTACATTCCTACCTTTCCTTACTCCATGCTGCCCCCTCTGGCTAGAATACCCCTCCTCATCATGCCATCCTGGGTAGCTCTCAATTTTTTCAAACTTCTAATTGCAGCCGGGCACGGTGGTTCACACCCGTAATCCTAGCACTTTGGGAGACCGAGTGGGGCAGATCACGACGTCAAGAGTTCGAGACCAGCCTGACCAACATGGTGAAACCCTCTCTACTAAAAATACAAAAATTAGCCAGCCAGGCATGGTGGTGCACACTTGTAATCCCAGCTACTCGGGAGGCTGATGCAGGAGAATCACTTGAATCCAGGAGGCAGAGGTTTCAGTGAGTCGAGATCGTGCCACTGCACTCCAGCCTGGGTGACAGAGTGAGACTCCACCTCAAAAAAAAAAAAAAAAATTAACAGTTGAATAAGGCACTTACCAGGAATGGAACTTGCTGGATTGGAAGTTACCCTGGGTGTATCAGTAAGTGAATGATGAGTGAATGTGAAAGTCTAGGACATTGCTGTACATGACTGCAGGCTTTTTTTTGGAAACTGAGTCTCGCTCTAATGCCCAGGCTAGAGTGCAGTGGTGCAATCTCGGCTCACTGCAACCTCTGCCTTCTGGGTTCAAGCGACTCTCCTGTCTCAGCCTCCTCAGTAGCTGGGGTTACAGGCATCCACTACCACACCTGGCTAATTTTTGAATTTTCAGTGAAGACAAAGTTTCACTATGTTGGCCAGGCTGGTCTCAAACTCCTGACCTCAAGTGATCCTCCCACATCAGCCTCCCAAAGTGCTGGGATTACAGCGTGAGCCACCCACACTGGGCCAACTCCAGACTTCATAAACACTGCACACTTAGGCTACACTAGATTTACAAAAAATACTTTTCTTTCTTCAAAAGCAAATTTAACTGACTGTAACTTTTTTACCTAACAAACTTTGAATTAAGACTTTTTTACTCTTTCATAAGAACACAAACATCTGTAAAAGATCAGGTAATGAATAGTCCAGGCTCTGGGTCATGTGGTGTGTTGCAGCGATTGAGTCTGCTGCTGTGACACCAATGCCAATGTTGACGAGAAGTAAAAAAGGCCAGGATGTGTTCCAATATGACTTTACTCATGAAAATAGGTGACAGCCTGGATTTGGCCACAGTCCTTAGTTTATTGACCCCTTGTATAGACAGTGGAATTCAGTAAGGCAACACAAGTTTATTATTATTTTATTTTTATTTTGGTAGAGATGGGGGTCTTACTATGTGTCCCAGGATGGTCTCAAAACTCCCGGTCTCAAGTGATCCTCCTGCCTCAGCCTCCGAAACTGCTGGGATTATAGGCATGAGCCATTATGCCCAGCCTCCAAGTTTAAAATTGAAAAGCATCTTCATTCATTCCTCTCAATGCATTCCTATGAGTCAATGTATAACCTAATTTTTTAAAATTTTTATTATTATTTTTAAATTTATCATACTTTAACTTCTGAGGTACATGTGCAGATTGTGCAGGTTTGTTACATAGGTATACACGCGCCATGGTGGTGGTTTGCTGCATACATCGCCCCGTCATCTACATTAGGTATTTCTCTTAATGCTATTCCTCTGCAATCCCCCTGCTACTGCTCTCTTGGACACCCACCCCGCAGGCCCCGGTTTGTGATGTTCCCCTCCCTGTGTCCATGTGTTCTCATTGTTCAACACCCAGTTATGAGTGAGACCATGCAGTGTTTGGTTTTCTGTTCTTGTGTCAGTTTGCTGAGAATGATGGTTCCCAGTTTCATCCATGTCCCTGCAGAGGACATGAACTCATCCTTTTTTATGGCTGCATTGTATTCCATGGTGTACATGTGCCATATTTTCTTTATCCAGTCTATCATTGATGGGCATTTGGGTTGGTTCCAAGTATAACCTCATTTAGAAACACAGTAGTATGGCTGGGAATGGTGCCTTACACCTGTAATCCCAGGACTTTGGGAGGCCGAGGCAGGCAGATCACGAGGTCAAGAGATCGAGACCATCCTGGCCAACATGGTGAAACCTTGTCTCTATTAAAAATCCAAAAATTAAATGGGCATGGTGGTGTGTACCTATAATCCCAGCTACTCAGGAGCCTGAGGCAGAAGAATTGCTTGAACCCAGGAACTGAAGCTTGCAGTGAGCCAAGATCGCACCACTGCACTCTAGCCTGGCGACAGAACAAGACTCGGTCTGAAAATAAATAAATAAATACATACAGTATTATAAAGGGTTGGATTTGAGGCCCTTTCTAAATGGGAAGGCTAGGCCAAAAAACCCTAATTCTGTCCCCATGCTGTGATAAGTCCAACATGTTGGTTAAGCCTACAGATGGTTAAGTCAATTGCCTAGACTTCAGCAAGTGACGAAGCTTTTTACCCTTGGTCTCCTCATCTGTGAAATAAGGTAAACAATTTCATCCTAGTAGTGTTGTCAGGAGTCTTCTATAAGAGGTTGGCCCATTGTGTACCAGCAGAGGGTTCCACCTACCTGAAAGGAGAGAGAAGCAAGGAGACAGTTGTGCTAGTGTCTAGCTGCTAGAGTAAGGTGGGAAGTTACTGCTAAAGCATTTCAAAGTTCTTAGTCAAAATAGGCAGTCTGAGAACCCACTCAGGGACTTGAGGGCAATGTAGTCTGTTCTTGGCTGACAATGTTATTTGTTTCAAAATAACTTTTTTTTTGAGATGGAGTCTCACTCTGTCGCCCAGGCTGGAGCACAGTGGCACCATCTCAGGTCACTACAACCTCCACCTCTCAGGGTCAAGTGACTCCCGCCTCAGCCTCACGAGTAGCTGGGACTACAGGAGTGTGCCACCATGTCTGGCTAATTTTTGGATTTTTAGTAGAGACGGGGTTTCACCATGTAAGCCAGGCTGGTCTCGAACTCCTGACCTCAGATGATCCATCCGCCTCAGCCTTCCAAAATGCTGGGATTACAGGTGTGAGCCACCACACCTGGCCCAAAATAACTTTTGTTTCAGAAACCAATTCTCGGTCAGACGCATTGTGGCCATCAAGTTTGGAGTTGTTGGGTTTCTAGGGATCTAAACCAGAAACACCTAAGACCCAATGAAGACAAAAGCATCCCTGACCTGATTCTATTATAACATTTTCCTGTGTGCCCTGGACCCCATCCCAGGCCCCAAGACACCAACCTTCTGAGCTTTCTGAGAGCAAGACCTTTGTTGAAAATAGATGTTGGAAACAGATGCTCAGTGCCACAAAAGAAAATTAGTACTTGACTTGTTTTTGGTTTCATAGGAAAAAAAGAAAAAAAAATTAGTACTAGGACAAAGGATCTTTCAGCAACACAATTTTTACTTCCTGGACCCCAGGAAGGGCACCCACGATAGCCAACACGCCACCAGAGTACAAAGAACAAAGGAAAACACACAAATTTATTCCTTATGCATTTGGGGTGGTCCTTACTGCTGTGTCTGATCTCCGTTGGCTGGAGCCAGACCTCACAATGTAAACTAAAACCTGATTGGCTAATAACCTAAAAATTTTCTAAACAGGTAAAAGCAATGGAGAGCTTGGACGTGCTTGTGAGCACGTCCAGCAAAGATATCTTGGTTAAAGTACAAGGACATAGAATGTACTACATGCCTGTAAGCATGGCATCTCTAACAGCTACATAGCTACATAGGATAGGGCTTAACAAAGAATTATTAGCACATTATTCTTTTAACAAGAAAGGAAACTTTAAAAAGGAACTTTTCTACTTCCCACAACCTTGTTGATCTTTCTGTACATCAAGGTCTTAGTACGGTATCTAGAATCCTAGAACAGTGTCTAGAAACTCGTGTGTGTGTGTGCGCGCGTGCACATGCATGCATATAGAATGAATCAATGAATGGCTGTGTGGAGAAGGCCAGCGAGTATTTCAGACAGGGCCCCAAAGTATGTATCTCTTGGTCAGATCACCAGATATTGAGGATCCCAGGAACTGCCCCAGCTTTGTAGATATTAAAGTTCGATTTCTGAATACACCCAAGAGATGGCCAGAGATGAGTGGACTAGCTCATGGCAACCATACTTACAGCAGAAAGTCAAATTACACCTCTGTAACTACAGGCATATGAAAATGTACTGCTACCAGCATTCACTGGCCAGATTATTCTGCCCGGCAGACATCTCTTCATAGGACCCCCAGGATAATCAGTGGGGTCCAAGAAAGCCTGGACTTTTCCATTCCAAGGGCCCTTTTACAATGTGACATGGATACTTCTCCCCTGAAGAGGTAGAATATAATTTTCCTTCCTTTGAATCTAGGTGACTGCTATCTGTGTCTTGTGTTGACTTCTGGGCCTAATTCTTCAGAAGCACTGCAATTTCACTTCATCCTCCTGGAGGCTGACCACCATTCAAAGAAGCTCAGCCTGACTACTGAATATGAACCCTCTACATAGATGGAAAGGCAATGGGAAATGAACTATAAAGCACCCCCAGCGGAGCCAATACCCAGGTCCCACACCTGTGAGTGGGACCATGTTGGAGGTTCCACTTCCACTGAGCTACCCAGCAGCCCCTGAAAGGAGCAGAGTCAGACTATTCTTACTGAACACAGCCGTGAGCAACAAAAGGACTGAAAGTGATTTCAAGCCACAAGCTGTTCATATACAAAACGGAAAACAAAAAGAGATGCAAAGCAAGAGAAAGTGGCTGGATTATATTCACTATTGATGTCACTGACTTCTGAAAGTCTGTTACCTCGATTTCCACTTTCTCTGCTGTCCTAATGGCCAGGCTGCCTCTACTCTAGCAAGTCCAGAGACATTTTCTGTTTCCGACTCTCTGAACTACCCTTTTGGAGGTGCCAGTCAAACCAAGCCCCTTCAGAAAACACAATCATTGTTGCCTTGATTGAATTTCAGACCCTGCTTAGTTGTAAATTGAAAACCTCATCTAAGCTACTGGCTTGTTTCTAATTTCCTAGTATTTCTTGTTTGCCACAAGCCAGACTCTGTCCTAGGAGGTAATGATACAACAAAGAACCAGATAGACAAATCCCAGGCTCATGAAATTTGCATTCCAGTATAACCTCAGATTGAAAATGTATTAGCTGTCATCTTCATATACCAGGAATAAAAATAGGACCTACAGTGCAGAAAGTGCATACTGGGCCCTAGAAATAACCCAAATACCATCCAGCCCTCAGAATTTTATATAAGTAGATGACCAAAAGTGATTCTTCCTATAGTTTTGAGATGAGATTACCCAACAGATAGATATGCACATAGGGCATCATAAAATAGAGGAACAGATGTGTTTGTGTGTGTCTGAAATCTGATATATGTATTTAAAAGGATCAAAGTAGTCATCACAGGAAAAAACAAATCAATATTTTATTGCACTACACTTTTTAAAAGCAGTTTTAATGAATGAATGAATTTTTTTGCAGAGAACATCTCACTGTCAGCCAGGCTGGAGTAAAGTGGTATGATCATAGCTCACTGCAGCTTCAAAACCCTGGGTTCATGTGATCCTCCTGTCTCAGCCTCCAGAGTAGCTGGGACAACAGTTTTATGCCACCATGTCTAGCTATTTATTTATTTATTTTTAAAATTTTTTAGTCTTTTTTGGTAGAGATGGGGTCTTGCGTTGTTGCCAGAGCTTGTTTGTTTGTTTTTGAGATGGAGTCTCCCTCGGTCATCCAGGATGGAGTGCAATGGTGTGATCTTGGCTCACTACAACCTCCACCTCCCGGGTCTAACTGATTCTCCTGCCTCAGCCTCCCCAGTAGCTGGGATTCCAGGTGTGCACCACCACACCTAGCTAGTTTTTAAATTTTTAGTAGAGACGGGGTTTCACCATGTTGGTCAGGCTGGTCTGGAACTCCCCACCTCAGGTGATCCCCTGTCTTGGCCTCCTGATGTGCTGGGATTACAGGCATAAACCACCATGCCTGGCCACAGTGTGGGTACTGAACTACTAGTCTGAAGCTATTCTCCAGCCTTGGCCTCCCAAAGTACTGGAATTACAGATAGGAACCATGGTGCCCAGCCTTTAAGCAGCTTTTACAAACTACTGTTTTTGGCCTCGGTGGCTCACGCCTATAATCCCAGCACTTTGTGAGGCCCATGCAGGCAGTTCACTTGAGGTCAGGAGTTCGAGACCAGCCTGGCCAACATGGTAAAACCCTATCTCTACTAAAAATACGAAAATTAGCCAGGCGGGGTGGCACGCACCTGCATTCCCAGCTACTCGGGAGGCATTGCTTCAACCTAGGAGGCAGAGGTTGCAGTGAGCCAAGATCGCGCCACTGCACTCCAGCCTGGAAACAGAGCAAGACCCTCTGTCTCAAAAAACAACCAAAAAATATATATATATAAAAAAACTATTGTTTTTATTTTGAATACTTATGGGGATGGTGGTATGATCATCTTTTCAGTTTGTAAAGGACTCTAACAGTGTAAAAAAGATTTGAAGCATTTCCTGACCCTCACTGGGATGGTTATTTCAAGTACAAAACGTTTTCACACAGTGGGTGGTAATCTTCCATAAAAATGTTACATATTTGAATGAAAACAGCTCAAGAAATACACTAATGAGCAAAAATATATGGGGAAAGAGGAACGAGTAGTTTTGACTCAACTGAAGAAACCAAGAGGAAACTGGTCTACATATGAAAATGTTTCATCCTGGAAAGTCAAGTGTCAAGACTTCTGTGTAGGAATTGATATGACTTGAATCTCTCCTATTTCCTAAATTAAAGTGACATTTTTCAGTATTCATTTAAAAAATCTGCATTTGAATGGAGCTTCCAGGTAAATTATGTCCCTCTATAAGGGAGCTCTCTATATTTCTGTTTTAATAAATGAAATAGCTTTCGGAAAGAAATCCTTATTAGATACACAAGAGGGGATTAAGTGTGTTTTTCAAAGAGCTGGTATTGGGACACCTACCTCTGTGATGTCCCTGGTCAGCTATACTGCATATGTGTTGAAACATTTTGCATTTTCCTTAATTTTCTACCATTTACTGGGTGTCTCTTCTGTGACAGTGCCACTCAAAGGGCTGCTGATATATTATTAGGTGACTGAATTCTAAATATCTTCTGAAGTAGGAGTCTGTTATTGCTGTTATTACTCACATTTTACAGATAAGCAAGCTGAAGCCCTAGAGGTCAAGGTCTCGCAGCTAGCAAATGAGCCAAGACTCTCTTGCTTTAGAGCTTGTCAACTATTCTTGCTTTTATTTCCAAAAAACACTAAAAATATTTTTTTGTTTTGTTTTGAGACAGGGTCTCGCTCTGTCACCCAGGCTGGAAGGCAGTGGCGCGATTTCGACTCACCGCAACCTCCGCCTCCGGGCTTAAGAGATTTTCCTGCCTCAGCCTCTGGAGTAGCTGGGACTACAAGCGCGCCAACACGTAAAAATGATCATTTTCTAACATGTATGCATACGAATTACAGTGGAAATAAAATCAGCAAAAGCGCCTATGCTAACGCTCAATACAATTGATCTTCTCACATTTAATCCTCACAACCCACTACAACCACCTCAAACTCAAACTCAAACTCGGAAGGGCTGACGTACCTGAGGGCACAACTCATTTCTGGTGCTAACAGGAACGGCTCAGCGAAACTAAAGACTCCCAAGGACCCGACTTCCCCAGGAAGGCTTTTCCCCGCCCTGTGCTTCCGGAAGTCCCGCCCCAGGAGCAATGACGGCTTCCGGAATAAATTGAAACTAGGAAACCGGAAAAGATCCAGGGGCGGGGCCGCTTGAGACGCTCTAGTATTCCTCTACTCTATGGCCGCTGCCAATTGACAAGTCCCGAGCGGTAAGACTCCTTTCTACTGGATGATCAGCCTCGCGTAGGCGGGCAGCTCTGTGCACGGCGCGCTGATTGGCTGGATTCGCCATGCGGAGCGGCTGGGCGGTGCATGGGGCACGCGGACTGAGGTGACAGGCGACTTTCTCAGTTCTTGTGGAGACAGGCGCATGTGGGCGCTTTGCTGCCTATTGCGGTTCGCGGCTAGGCGCACCATGTCGCAGGAGCGCACCTTGTCGCAGGGATCTGCCCGCCGCCAGCGGCCGCCCAAGGACCCACTGCGGCACCTCCGCACGCGAGAGAAGCGCGGCCCGCCGGGGTGCTCTGAGAGCCCGAACACCGTGTACCTGCAGGTGGTGGCCTCCGGTCGCCGGGACGCGGGCGCCGCGCTCTACGTCTTCTCCGAGTACAACCGGTCGGTTCGCAGCGCCCGGAGTCCCCTCAACGAGCCACGCCCAATCCCTCCGGGCCCTTAGTGCAGTAGACCTCAGAGCATCCGGGCACCTCCCGGGTCTTCGGCTTCCCTACTCCACACGTGTGGGATTTCACTGTTGCGGAGATTCTTGGAGTTTTAGTGGTTGGGAATCCCCAGATTCCTTGCATCCTTTCATGTGATTTCTGGGGATATATGAAGAATTTAAGACTTGGGTCCGAGCGTCCTCTTCCCAACCGTTGGGCCCCGGCCTGGCACTCAGTACTCTCGGAGCTTCATCCTCTTCCGTGCACCCTAAGGCCAGTGCGTCGTTGTTAGCGTGTGGGGTGGGCCGATCTGGTGGAGAGCCAGTGGTGGGGAAAGGACCCATATTGGCCCAGCAGCCACACACACAGGCCCCCACTCCACCTCTTCTAAGGAGGACTCAAAACCCACCATCCTAATAGCAGAAATGTGGCTCGGTAGTTCAACGTGGACTTTTAATTTTTTTCTTTTTTGTTCTTTTTCAATTAGATGCTACAATAAAGCATCTAATTGGTAGAGTTTACAGAATAAAACCTTCTGAGTGTCTTGTGTAATGTTTGTCTTTTAGGTATCTCTTCAACTGTGGAGAAGGCGTTCAGAGACTCATGCAGGAGCACAAGTGAGTCAATCTCTTGCCTTTGGGAGTAGTTGATTATGGTGCTTGAAAGCCTAAATGAGAGGCCAGTGTTTTTTTAATAGCAAAGTGGTCATTGCTATTCATGTTATCTTGTTCAAATGTTTTCTCATTCTTAGGTTGAAGGTTGCTCGCCTGGACAACATATTCCTGACACGAATGCACTGGTCTAATGTTGGGGGCTTATGTGGTGAGTATATTCTTTGTAGCGTCAGAGGCTGGTGGTAAGTCTCCTGAATTTTAACCTGCTTTACCATTTTTCCGGGTCTGGGGTGGGCAGCTAGACTATTTTTTTTTTTTCAGTGGCATGATCTTGGCTCACTGCAGCCTCTGCCTCCTGGGATCAGGTGATCCTGCCACCTCAACCTCCCAAAATAGCTGGGACCACAGGCATGCACCACCACACCTGGCTAATTTTTTTGGTATTTTTTGTAGAGATGGGGTTTCGCCATGTTGCCCAGGCTGGTCTCAAACTCCTGGGGTCAAGCAGTCCTCTTGCCTCAGCCTTTCAAAGTGCTGGATTACATGGATGAGCCACCATGCCTGGTCTGGAATCTTTTTATACCAGCCCAGTCAGCTGCAGCACAGAGCATTAACAGCTGTGATTCCAAAGAGCAGATTTTAATATGGATACTGCCTCTTAAGTGTTACCGTCCACTTAGTTTCTTGGGTTGCTGGGCCAGAGATTTGTGGCAGTAAAGTGGAGAGTCCAGCGGTGGTGGTTATGGTTAATATGTTTACTGCAGATGCCATTGGCAGCCACGTGCATACCCACTGTCCAGATTACCCAGTCATTTATGTCTGTCAATTGGGGAGGTCAGGATTATGTTGCAACCAAATTCCGTGGGCTTGCTGGCAGGGACAGGAAGGAGAGAAGTGTTAGGCCAGTCTCCCTTCTTAGGGCCGAGGCTAGGGTGAGGCACTTAGGGTGCAGAACTTAAATCCAGCCCTTCACGTGCATTATTCTTTAAATTCTTCACACTGGGTGCCTTGCTGCTTCACCCTGGTAACAGCTCACCCTATTCTAGAGGCATCTAAAGAATATTTGGTGTCCGTTATACCTCTAGCCTGCAGCACTTCTGCTCTGTACGTGTTCCCTGGTAATACTTCTGAAGCTGGAAGGAGGACATGTAGATAAATACCTGGATTAGCTGGATTAGAAGGGGGTGCTCCTCCTGGTAGTGATAACAGCTCAAGTTGATGAGAGATCTGATTTTATTCATCCTTTTTAGGAATGATTCTTACTTTAAAGGAAACCGGGCTCCCAAAGTGTGTACTTTCTGGACCTCCACAACTGGTGAGTCTTTCCTCACTCACCCTTCAAAACCAACCTTTCCTTTTGTAATGTCAGTAACAAGAATTTTCCTTTTTGCAAATTAATCTTCTGCCCTCCAGAGATACCTGGTAGTTGAAACGCTTCACCTTTCAAGTTAAAAAGACTTGAGTTCTAAACCTGATGAACTGTGTGACCTCGAATAAGTTACTTTACCTTTCAGAGCTTTTGTTGATTCTTCTATAAGATTGCTGTAATGTTTCATAAAAGTGTTTTTTCTTTTTTGTGGATGTGCTTTTACACAATTCATAGAGTTGTTACAGATTAAATGATGTAGCACATCTAAAGCACTACATCACTTTATGAGATGTTTGGCACCAAGTAGGCACACAAGAAAGGGTAGCTTTTCTTTTTATTCATTAAATTTCTGACATCTTCTTACCTTTCAAACCCGCTTATTATACTCTTGAGAAGTCTTGTGTGTGTTGTAGAATATAACAGTTCATTTTCTAGTTCTTCAGAAGAAAGTCACCAAGACTTTCTTGTTAAGTCTTTCCCCAAAATAACATTTGAAATCCATCCATTTGTCTCTTTTATTTATTTATTTTTTTTAGTTGGAGTCTTGCACTGTTGGGCAGGCTTGAGTGCAATGGCATCATCTTGGCTCACTGCAACCTCCGCCTCGCAACCTCCACCTCCCAGGTTCAAGCAATTCTCCTGCCTCGGCCTCCCAAGTAGCTGGGATTACAGGTGCCCACCACCACGCCCAGCTAATTTTTTGTGTTTTTAGTAGAGCCGGGATTTCACTATGTCGGCCAGGCTGGTCTCGGATCTCCTGATCTTGTGCTCCACCCACCTTGGCCTCCCAAAGTGCTGGGATTACAGGTGTGAGCCACTGGGCTTAGCCTGAAATCCATCCATTTGTCTCTTTTTGAGGCCTTCCTTATCTCTGTTCTCTACATCTGCAAACTATAAAAGCCTCCCATATCCATTCTTGCCTTCCTATAATCCATCTGCCACACAGCAGCCAGAGAGGGTACTTAAGACAGAAGATTGGTGTCACTTGCTACCCTAAAGTGCTTTGTAGGCTCCCCCTTGCAATACAGTCCAAAACACCCTGATATAGCCTACACGTCCTGTAGGCCCCAGCCCCTACCCACACTTCCATCTGTGCCCATCACTGAGCTGCAGCTTCCACCGCTAACTCTTGAGCCCCTCTAACTCCCTGTTCACTTCAGGACTTTCGTCCATTCGCTAGTTCCCTCTGCCTCTTCTAAGTGCTGCCTACATTTTACTGAACCTTCAGGGCTCAGCTAGAGGGTCATTGACTCCAGAACTGTCTCTTCTCCAGGCAAGTTGGATCCCAGCCCTCTGTATTTTTCATTTTCCTGGCAGAGCACTTAGCATAATTGCCACTAAGCTATTTTTGTTACCGTGTTTCATTCTGTCTTCTCCACTGGTCTGATTAAATCAAGGACTCCATCTCTTTCCTGCTAAATCCTTGGCATATGACATAGTGGACACTTAGTAAACATTTGTAATAAATGATGTTCCAAGTACTAAGGTTCGTTTTATGTTGATACCTATTGGTAACCTTTAAAATACTTGAATACTTGCTCTGTTCTACATTTGTTTCACCATAATTGCTCATTTCTTTGTTTTTCATTAGGAAAAATACCTCGAAGCAATCAAAATATTTTCTGGTCCATTGAAAGGAATAGAACTGGGTATGTCTTTGTCTGTGACTCATTATCTGCTATTTCTTACTCATATATGCCCTGATCTCTCAAATTAGAATCCATTAAAAACATCAAAATTAAACCTCAAAATCAAATGCTTCATTACCATGAAATGGTGGTGGTGTTTTGTTTTTGTTTTTTTGACGGAGTCTTGGCTCTGTCACCAGGCTGGAGTGCAGTGGCATAATCTCGGCTCGCTGTAACCTCCACCTCCTGAGTTCAAGCGATCCTTCTGCCTCAGCCTCCGAAGTACCTGGGACTATAGACACCCACCACCACACCCAGCGAATTTTTTGTATTTTTAGTAGAGATGGGGTTCCATCATGTTGGCCAGGATGGTCTCAGTCTCTTGACCTCATGATCCACCCACTTTGGCCTCCCAGAGTGCTGGGATTACAGACGTGAGCCACTGTGCCTGGCTAGAGACATTTAGTGCCTGTTGACATTTCCTGTGCTTCCACCTCAATGCTACAAAAATAGGGACCAGATAGGCAGGAATAATTGAACAGCTGATCCATACCTGTGTACATGCTGTGAGCGTTCTCCATTTAGACAGGGTGCCTGCCTCAGTTCTAGAGGTGCTTCTCGGTGTTGCTTTGAATTTCCTGTAACCAGGGGATGGGGCAGTGCGTGTGATGAGGGGCTCTTAAAGGTTTTGTGGCCATCTTTGTACATTGAACTGCAGTTCTAGCTGTGCAGGGAGGCTTACGGCCTCTTCCCGGCACTGGTGTGCATCTGTGGGTTGTTAATACTCCTCTTTTATAGAAACACTAATATTTTGTTTCAAAATATATGTCAGCTCTTCTAGTTGAGATGATAGGTTCTCTGGCTTCATAATTCTTTTTGTTAACTTGGACCTCTGAAAGTTGAGTTCTAGTTTCTTGTTTTTAAATATGTATATATTTTGAGATGGAGTCTTGCTCTGTCGCCCAGGCTGGAGAGCAGTGGAGTGATCTTGGCTCACTTGCAACTTCCACCTTTCAGGTTCAAGCGATTCTTCTGCCTCAGCCTCCTGAGTAGCTGGGACTACAGGCACCCACCACCTAATAGCACCACCCTGGCTAATTTTTGTATTTTTAGTAGAGATGGGATTTCACCATTTTGGCCAGGCTGGTCTCGAACTCTTGACCCTTGCAATCTGCCCGCATTGGTTTCCCTAGGTGCTGGGATTATAGGTGTGAACCACCATGCCCAGCCTTGTTTTTGAATTTTTAATTGATAGTCACCAATAATTGTAATGTCCTTTCATCTGGCTATAGTAAATATAAATGGCTGACAAAAATACACTTTTATTTATTTCCTAAAAATTGTAATCTCCTTAGACAGTCTGTTTTTTGGGTCAGATTCCCACCGTAAGACTGAGGCAGTTCACTGCTGGCAATTCCTGCTTGGTGATTGTGGAAGTTACTCACACGTCTTCGCTAATGCAATCACTTTGCTGTTGTGTGGTTTTCTTGTAGCTGTGCGGCCCCACTCTGCCCCAGAATACAAGGATGAGACCATGACAGTTTACCAGGTCCCCATATACGGTGAGTATGAAAGCCAGATGTCCCAGGATGGGGGTGTAGGTCCTGAGTAGAGAGAACATGGGTGATAATAGAAATGGAACATTTGCTTTAGGCACCCTGGTTTATGTTCTGAGCATGATTAGAAAATTTAGTTGAGGAATTAAGATATGGTTCTTGCCCTTAAGGAGCTTATAGTCTTATGGATAAGCACCTCTAACTCCCGCCTAATGATAGTGATTATGCTTTGGAAAATTATGTCATCAAGCACTGTTGGGAAATAGATTGTGTTCCAGTTTGTGCATTAATTCCTTAGAAGATTTTTCCCCGCAGGCATAAGTACCCTTTGTGCATTAATTCCTTAGAAGATTTTTCCCCACAGGCATAAGTACCCTCTTTTGATGACAGGATTGTGAAGAGGTTTGCATAGATAGACTTTTTAAAATAAATCATGATAACAGAAACCTAAAAGATGTGTTGTTAGGGGGTTAGAAGCGCCTACAAACTCTGAAGTACCAGGGCCAGATGATGTGGTCTTCACTTAAGAAGAGTCAGTCTTGTCCAGAGCGTGGCTAAAGACATTTCATGTCCACTTTTACTGACATGTGAAGAGAATACCAAGCAGTAGGGGTATTTCCTTGATAGTGCTAACTAACGTGATGCTTACCAAGTGCTGATGGATAACAGACTAGAGCACCCAACAAAGGCCAGAGAAGTCCAGAACCTGGTGAGGAGATGAGGTTTATGCCGACTGTGGGCAGGGGGTGGCAGGGAGGGGAGGAATGTGCTGGAGCAATGGCACAAGTGCTCATAGGCCAGTGCTGTGACAGTTTGAGCAGCACCCCGGTGGCCTGGCTTGCTCCTCCTACTCACATGTCTTCTCTCACCTGAGCCCTGCTGTAGCCAGCCCCAGCCTGAGTTGTCCCCTCTGTTGTCCATTTCTAGCACCCTGTTCTTCATTCCATTGCATATAATTGTTCACTTTTATGTGTTATTTATGCAATCGCTGTTAATATGCTCAGTTTTGCTGATCATTATTTTTTCAGTGCCCGGTGGCCCTAAATGAATAAACATATGTTCATTGTCGTTGCAGCTGTGCTTTAGCTTCTTAGAGCAGTGAATTTTTTTCCCTTGATCTTGAGCCTTAACTAAATGTAAAATGATGCTCCTTCTCCTAGAGATAGGTACCCTTTGGGCGTATGTTTTTTAGTGGGATTGATGATAATAAATATGCATGATGATAATAAATATCCCACATTGTTTGGATAACACATTGTCGAGTTGGTACCATTGGCAAGGCTGTGAGCTAAGCAGAAACAAAAAGATTAACAGGACATAAATGCTGCCCAAAAACCAGGTAGAAATGTAACTGATTAGTTATTTCTTACTGTCTAGTAAAATGTGTGCTGATTTAATTGGCATTCTGGCATTCCCATGTATGAACATCTAGACTTTGGCTGTGAGCTCACCTTTTGCAATGTGTAATTTGGTGGTGTCTGTACTGACCAGGTGAACCGAGGAGTGGGGAGCACCAACCATGGCAGAGTCCAGAAAGGCCTCTGGGCAGGCTCAGTCCAGAGCGATCTTCAGACTCCGAGTCCAGTGAAAATGAGCAGCTCCTTCCACGTGGTAATAGTATAAACAAAACAGAGCAGCGGAAAGCCTTGCGTTTTCTTAATTCTCTGCCTCATCATGCTTGAAGAGAATCGTTCTTATAAGAAAACCGTGTGTGTAAAACAGATACTTCTTCCTGGGCTCATTATAACTTGGCCCATGGGGAGAATGAGAAGGGTTGTTGTAAAGGTGGCAGCTTGGAACTTTAATAATGACCAGTCCAGGGCCTGGGTAGGCCCAAAACTGTGTTCTGTTTTCCCAGAGGAGAACAGGGCCTGACAAACTGATTCATTTTGTATTTTTCATTTGTGTTTTTCATCAACGTAACATTTATGCAAATTTTTTATTAATGTGGAAACCAGAACTGCTAAGCTAGTGAGACAGTCACATCAATGAGAGGATCTGCGTCTCTTCTTCCAGAATGACAGCCCACTCGGAAACGGAGTTAAAAGTCCAGGATTAGATGTAGCTCAGGAGTTGGGCTGCTTCCACAGTTTGTTGTCCTTAACAGAAGGCCAGCCTCAGCGAAGCTTGGCAGCTCCTCTTTCTGTCTAGAGCTCATGTCTCGTGTCTAGTGACTGAGAACAGGCCAACCCTATATGCTGTTTTCATTTGGATGGCACCGGGTGAAGACTGACACCAGCATTTTCTCTGTAGGCCTTTGAACTTTTGTGTTATTTCATATATTCTAATATGTGTTATAAAGCACATTGCAATTTTTTTCTCTCTCCTCTCCAGTCCTAGGTGAAATGTGTCATTTAAAAAAAAATTTACTTGCCATTCTAAAGTTTTTCTGGTGAGAGTTTTGTGTTTTTCATTTACCCAAACACATGTCCACGTAAATAGGGGAAAAAACAATTTCTTGAGTTGTTAGTGTCTTCAACCTCTGTATTGAGACAGCAGCGTCCGTTTAAGTTTTATGTGAAGTGAAATTAGGTGTCGGGGTCATCCTCGGTTTGTGATGTCTTGACAACTTTCACATTTACCTTGTTATAATCAAAAGTGTTTTTCCTCAGGTGTTAGCCAGAGAAGAGGGGGCAGGGACCCTTCCCTGGTGGTAGCTTTCATCTGTAAGGTAAGGGAGCCGTTCCGGAGGGCTGTGTGACGGGGGGGCTTGGCCAGCAACCTTTGGTTTGCACTTATTTAATAATTTGAGGGTAGCAGCCCCTGTTACCTGAACCAAGAAGAGATAGCAGATCTTCTAATATAAATCAATAGAAATGATGCTGGCCATGAGCCTGCAAGGAGTGTCACTACTGACCTTTCATAATTGTCGTTACTTGCAGGTTTCAGAATTTAGATGCTCTGTTTCTCAAAATGACCCCATACTTTTATTTCCCTTTAAATTCTTTTCCAGTGCCCTGTCAGCCTCCATATATATTCTTTCTTTTTTCTTTTGTAGAGACGGAGTCTTGCCCTGTCACTTGGGGTGTAGTGTGCAGTGGTGCGATCTCAGCTCACTGCAACCCCCACCTCCCAGGTTCAAACAGTCCTCCCACCCCAGCCTCCTGAGTAGCCGGGATTACAGGCATGCACCACCTGTATTAACCATGCACAATTAACCATGCCTGGTTTTTTTTTTTTTTTTGTATTTTTAGTAGAGACAGTGTTTTGCCACGTTGGCCAGGCTGGGCTGGAACTCCTGACCTTAGTTGATCCACTTGCCTTGGCCTCCCATAAGTGCTGGGATACAGGAATGAGGCATCACACCTGGCCCATATTCTTTTTTATTTGCCAACAATCAATTCTTTTAGAATTCGGAATTTATTTTTATTTTTATTTATTTAGTTTGAGATGGACTTTTGCTCTTGTTGCCCAGGCTGGAGTGCAGTGGTACAATCTCGGCTCACCACAACCTCTGCTTCCCAGTTCAAGTGATTCTCCCATCTCAGCCTCTTGAGTAGCTGGGATTACAGACGCCAGCCACTATGCCTGGCTAATTTTTGGTTTGTAGAGATGGGGTTTCACCATGTTGGCCAGGCTGGTCTCGAACTCCTGACCTCAAGTGATCTGCCTGCCCAGGCCTCCCAAAGTGCTGGGATTAAAGGAGTGAACTACCACACCCAGCCTTCAAGTACCATTTATTTATTTATTTATTTAATTTATTTAGAGACAGAGTCTTGCTGTGTTGCCCAGGCTGGAGTGCAGTGGCACGATCTCAGCTCACTGCAACCTCCTCCTCTCAGGTTCAAGTGATGGTCCTGCCTCAGCCTCCCAAGTAACTGGGACTGCAGGTGCCCATGACCACACCCAGCTAATTTTTGTATTTTTGGTAGAGATGGGGTTTCACCATGTTGGCCAGGCTGGTCTTGAACTCCTGACCTCAAGTGATCCTCTTGCCTTGGGCTTCCAAAGTGATGGGATTACAGGTGTGAGCCACTGCCCCCAGTGGCAAGTACCTTTTAAACATTAGAGAGACATTTAGTTGCTATCCTCAAACCCCTTTGGGTGTGGAGAGAATGCTGGGTCATGACATGCTTGTTAATTATCTAAAGATGTCAGCCATCAGTCATCATTGTGTGATGTGCACAATGAAGCTGTAATCCTTCATCTAGGACAGTATTTTTCAAAATGGAAAATTCTAGAACCCTGAGAATAAGGATTTCAGATCCAAATTTGAGTAAGTTTTTGACTTCAGGGAGTTAAAAGAAGATGCACAGGGAGTTAAAAGAAGTTGATGAAGATGTAAAGGAGAAAATGAAAATCTGATATAATTCAACACTCAAAGACCTGTATGTCATTTCTGACTTTTTTTCTGGTGTTGTGTGTAAAAAGTTTTTTTTTCCTGTAAAACGATTATGAAGCTTTGTGATAGAATTATTGTTTGCCTTTCTAACATAATAGCATATTGAAGATTTTTAATTGTAATTTTTTTCTCCAAGATAAAAGCAATGACATTATATTGCCAAATAATTGAAAAATACAGGAGAAATTAAAAAACCATCCATCCTTTTCCATCCTTTTGTTAGCCTATCACTGTCATTGTAATATTATGTTACATGCAGTTTGCTTGATGGTTGCTCTGTTAGGCAGTGCTCTCTGGTGACATTCCTGTACCTATTAATTGAGGAGTGTAGAATGACAGAAGAGTGTTTCTCCTCAATGATATTTGAAGGATGCTTATTAACTTTCATATTGAAATGAGTTACATTTAATTAAATTTATAAAGAGTTGATTTTTAGGAAATAAAGCACTGATTTAAATCATTTTGGCTTTTAGTACCAAAGCATTTAACAATAAATTACTTATTCAGAATATAGTGCACCTTCTGAAAGCAATAAATACATTTTAATGAATTGTAAGAACACAACATTATTTTTTTTTTACTCCAGAAAGATACACTTCTGAGAAAATTGATTGAAACCAAACTTCTTCCTTAGCCACTGAAATCACATGTTTTCTTTGTTGCAGCTTCACTTAAAGAAAGGAAACTTCTTGGTGTTAAAAGCAAAGGAGCTGGGCCTCCCAGTGTGAGTGTGGGGGTGAGGCTTCTGGGGACTCCCTGGGTCACCTTTGCACTGAAGGAAAACACATCTCATAGAGGCCTTGCCTCTTCGTTTCAGTGGGACAGCTGCCATCGCTCCCATCATTGCTGATGTCAAAGACGGGAAAAGCATCACTCATGAAGGAAGAGAGGTGAGACGTCTGGTGTTCTTGATGATTCAGCAGTTACAGGTAGGGTCTGGAGGAACATTGGGCAGAGTCACTGTCTGGTGCAGGCCCCCCAGACACCACTTTTGAAGGAAGAGAAACAGTTTGGATATCACTTAGCTAAGTGATAAAATGGACTCTTTTTTTTTTTTTGAGACGGAGTTTTGCTCTTGTTGCCCAGGCTGGAGTGTGATGGTGTGATCTCAGCTTACTGCAACCTCTGCCTCCTGGGTTCAAGCGATTCTCCTGCCTCAGCCTCCCAAGTAGCTGGGATTACAAGCACACGCCATTTTTTATATTTTTGGTAGAGATGGAGTTTCACTATGTTGACCAGGCTGGTCTCGAACTCCTGATCTCAGGTGATCTGCCCACCTTGGCCTCCCAAAGTGCTGGGATTACAGGCATGAACCACTGCGCTCGGCCACAGTGGTCTCTTTTTATCTGTGCTTGTCCTGCATGTCAGCACAGCTGCATTTGAGCGTTTTTGTAGATTGTCCATTTATGATCCTATCATCCTCCTCCTCAAAGAGTGCATGCTTTCCCTGGTACTTGAGCTCAGGACAGTGTCTAACAATAGACCCCAGATGGATGGGCCTGGGGTTTGTGGCCTCGAGGAATGTCACCATATTCTTTGTCAAGATATTTCCTCTGACTTCTAAGGACATGAGGACCAATGGCCACAGACTGAATAGAACCTTAATGCACACCTCATTTCCTGGCCAGTGTAGTCCTGAAGTGCCTCTGCCTGCCAGTTACCTATTTATACCTATCAACAAAGAGAGCAGGAGAGTGCTGCTGGTGATGTGTAAAGCTGGTTTTGTGTTTTGTGTACCTGTCAGCTCGCTGGATAGGATATGTCATGTTAGCAGTTGCCTTGAAGGCAGTTCGGTTTGGTGGCTGACCCTAGTGGGCGGGCTTATTTGATTTTGCAGATTTTGCCTGAAGAGCTGTGTACTCCTCCAGATCCTGGTGCTGCTTTTGTGGTGGTAGAATGTCCAGATGAAGGCTTCATTCAACCCATCTGTGAGAATGCCACCTTTCAGAGGTAATGAGGGTCTCTAGGGTGGGAGAAGTGAGAGCTGAAACCCAGCCCAGCACTGACATGGGCATCTTGTGGCAAGAGTCCTGTTTCTGGCAAGGCCCACTATCTGGGTTTCAAATTTGTAGCTACCTTTGGGCCGGTCCTACTGTCAGGATTTAAGTCATTATTGGTAGTTGGTGGGCTCCTGTGTACACAGACTCAAAGTGAAATTAGAAAAGGTTGAAAACTGATACCACTGAGGACTGGAAATTCAAGTGGAACTGTTACAGCTCTTACACTACAAGAAATTCTAGAACCCCCTTTTGAGTTCTAACTAATGGCACAGATTATCATTTGGATTATTTTTAACTGAATTTTCTTCCATTACCTGCATTGAAATGTCTGAGGTGGGTCAGAGTGTGAGACTGTTGTAGTCAAGAGTCTGTGTTACGGGATGGAATCATAACCAGGCAATGTCTTTGGGGACAGCTGCCACTCTGTTTTTGTCCTCCAACAAAGAACCAGTTTTGCAGTTCAGCTTTCATCCCAGGTAGAATCTTTGACCCACATATCTGAGTTTGAGTCTTTTCTCCAACTCATAGTATTACCTGTATTTTTCCTTTTCCTAGTTCGTGTCTGTTTTTTCACTTGTTTTTTCCACTTACCACAACAAATCCTTTTGGGCTGCTGTTCCCATTCCGAGTCAGAGTGTTAGGAGTTTATTCATAGTCAGCTTTATTCTCTGTGGGTGAATGTGGGTGCCCTGGTAGCCCAGGCTTTGTATTTTAATCAAGTTTTGGGCAGCAGAGCTTCTTCAATGAATGAGGTGTCATCCAAGAACCATGTGTGTTTGTGTGATGATGCTGGTGATGGGATAGATAAAAATAGCCACTATGTATATTTCTTTTTAAAGGGAACTGGAGGGAAACACATCAGCATGTTAGTAAGTGGTCCGTTGTCCAGGTGGTGGAATTTCAGAAGATTTTCAGTTTTCGTGCCTGTGTCACAGGTCCTCTAGAAGACAGACACCAAGGTGGCATTGGAGTGCAGGAGGTTCACTGGAGGAAATGCCGTGAGAGAGAAAGGAGAGAGGGAGCAGGAGGAGGCAGAGAGAGCCTGGGTCTGGCTTTGCAAGTTGGACCCCTGTGAGTGGAGAGGACAGGAAGTAACGGCAGTGCTGAGAAAGGATCCGCCAGGCCGACTAGAAGGCCCAGAGCAGAGCTTGCCAGATAGAGGAGCCCCATGTCCACTGGAAATGGCCCAGCACTGGGGCCTGCTGTGAGCAGCCCCAGAAGAGCATGGCCTGGGCGTGGAGTCTGTGCACTCACTGCAGTGCCACAGAGGGTCCGGTGGTACCTCTCCCTGGCTGCATGGTTCCTGTCTTGGTATGTCCTGTGTCTGTATCACTTTGTAAAGCCCCATTCTTCCTTCTGCCCAGGTACCAAGGAAACGCAGATGCCCCTGTGGCCTTGGTGGTTCACCTGGCCCCAGAATCTGTGCTTGTGGATAGCAGGTACCAGCAGTGGATGGAGAGGTATGGAGCCCAGCCCAGCAGCACTTGGGGCAACTCTTCTGGGTAGTGATGCCTTCCCCTCTCCTCCCCTCTTGCTCTTTCAAGCGCTACTTACCCTTCTGCACCTGCCTAAACTTTCTGTGGGATTCCTGCCATCCCAGAATTCTAGGCGCTCTGATCTGTGCCACACTTGCAAAAAAGTACACCGCTAGGTGGCGCAGCATCCACACAGTTCCACTCATTCGATACCCTCCACATTCTTCAGCTTGTCTGAACGAATACGGGCCTTTGGTTGAGGATTCCACCAGTGAGTCCCAAAGAAGAGACTGCAGATATAAAATGATTGTTTCTGTTTCCTGAATGCCCACTTTGTGGCAGGCGGTGTGTTAAATACCCTGCGTTTCACTTCATTTCCTCTAGGGTCATTCCCAGCAACCCTGGGAGGTAGATTTTAGTCACTGGAAGGAGGGAGCTTTACTTTTTCCTCGGGGCATTGCTGGCCAAGGCCAGGTGGAAGAGTGTGAGTTCAGCTCGGGTGTAGGGTGATCATGGGCTGCTTTTCGGCCCCTGCTGTGTCGCACAACCCCAAGGCCTGCTCTCCTGCTGGCTCTTCTTTCATTCCTCAGGGTTTGAGTCCCCTATTTGTAGGCCCTGGACATCTTTCTTTTTTTTTGTTTTTCCTCTCACTCTTCCCAGCACACCTGAAAGGCAGCTGAGATAGGGAACACCAGGCTTTGAGACTCCAGGAGTGTGGCCATGTTTGGCCATGCAGTAACCCATTTTGGGCAAGTCACTGACCTCTTTGAATACCTCATCCCCATTACCACTCCTGAGCTTGGCGCCAGTCCTTGGGGAACTGCTTCCTAACATATGCTGCAAATGCGGGGTCTCTTTCATTGCAGGTTTGGGCCTGACACCCAGCACTTGGTCCTGAATGAAAACTGTTCGTCAGTTCACTGCGTTCGCAGCCACAAGATCCAAACCCAGCTCAACCTCATCCACCCGGACATCTTCCCCCTGCTCACCAGTTTCCCCAGTAAGGTAGTGTCTCAGAATGGCCCCCTGTCGGCGCAGCTCTTGACCCCCTCTTTCTCTCCACGAATGTGTTTTCTCCCCTTTCAGGAGAGCCCCATCCTCAGTGTGCCTGTGGTTCGGGGTGAATGCCTCCTCAAGTACCAGCTCCGTCCCAGGAGGGAGTGGCAGAGGTCGGTGCCATCTTGAACTAATGGAATCATCTCAGTTGGGTTGGGAAACATTTCTGTAAATAGCTACATAGTAAATGTTTCAGGAGGCTCTCTAGACCATATGGTCTCTGTTGCAACTATTCCACTCCGCTTTGAGCACAAAAGAGACATGGACAGTAAGCTAATGAATGGGCTTGGCTGTGTGCCAGTATGAATTTATTTAGAAAAACAGCCTACTCCAGGCTGGATTGCGGTGGGAGGATTGGGGCCAGTAGTTCTCCTTTTCTAAAACTGTCCTGGAAACAGCACTGATAGAGCTCATTTGTTTCACAGTATAGAAAATAAGAAAGGTATGATGAAGAAAGTCACCCATAATCCCATCACCCAGAGATGATAATTGTTAACATTTTGTGTTGTTTAATTTGTATATGTGGGTTTACGGCCTGACGTCGTCAGTCTTTTACTGTGTCACTAAGTAGTCTTAAGTGACAAGATTTTTATTGGTATTCCAAATAGGGATGTTTACTCATTTGGGGTGTTGCCAGTTTTTTGCTGTTTTAATGAAACAGTAAATGTCTCATATATAAATCTTGGATGGGAACTCTGTTCCCTTAAAGTCCTTCCTAAATGTGGGATTACTGGCCCAGAGTGTGACACTTCTTAAGGTACTTGATAAATGCAAAATGCCATTTTGAAACCCTTACCAGTACACTCCAACCAGGAGAGTGAATAGCCTTACTTCCCCACATCTTTATTTATTTATTTTTGAGATGGAGTTTTGCTCTTGTTGCCCAGGCTGGAGTGCAGTGGCACGATCTCAGCTCACTGCAACCTCCACCTCCCGAGTTCAAGCCATTCTCCTGCCTCAGCCTCCTGAATATTTGTGATTACAGGCATGCACCACCATGCCTGGCTAATTTTTTTGTATTTTTAGCAGAGACGGGGTGACACCACATTGGCTAGGTGGTTCTCGAACTCCTGACCTCAGGTGATCCACCCACCTCAACTTCCTAAAGTGCTGGGATTACAGGCGTGAGCCACTGTGCCCAGGCTCTTTTAATTTTTAAGATCCAAACCTTGATTTTAAGTTTCCTGTCCACTCTACAGTGTTTGTATTAGAATAGACCATGTGTTGGATTATGACTGGACGCTGTGTGCTGTTGTGGTTGGGCAGGTGGGGCCCTTTAAGAGATGTTAGTAGCAAGACTCTGGCCCACAGGCAGCATCATGGGGTTGAAGAACCTGGTGTCCCTTTGCTGGCATCTGTACAGGCTCCTCACACTCAGCAGCGATTCACAGTCCTAGCCGATATTCAGACTTACCTTAAGCTTATGAAAAATACTGCGTAGGGCCTGCCCCAGACTTAGTGAATTAGAATCTTGAGAGTTAGGCTTGGGACTCACAAGCTCCCAGATGATTTTAATTCTCAGCCAGGTTGAAGAGCCGCCTGTCCAAGCAGTTGTCACTCTGGGTGACCTGGGGCTTGCTAGGAAAGTGAGATCTCAGGCCTCACTGCAGAGCTGCTGAATTGGGTTCTACATTTTGCCACGGTTCCTGGGTGTGCACGAGTTTGAGAGTCACTCCTCCAGGGCCCTGCTTCTCACCTGGGACCATTTACCCCTCAGCGGACATTTGACAATGTCTGGAAACATTTTTGGTTGTCACAACCTAGGAGGTAGGTGGACGTCAGGGGTGCTGCACCAGGACAGCAGCACTGGCCACAAAGAAAACCATCCTGCCCTGAGCATCAGTAGTGCCCTGTTGTTTGGCCCTGAGGTGGAGCAATGCAGCTTCCTAAGGGCGGTGGAGCAGAACTGCCCCGGATCTTAGGCACTTCGCCTTCAGTGTTGATCTGAAAGAACTTCCAGCAGATTGTCCCCCTGAATTTATTCTGGACATCCACATTGGGGTCTGCTGAGGCCATGTATCTCGTCATCACCTGAGATGCTTCTCTCCCTACAGAGATGCCATTATTACTTGCAATCCTGAGGAATTCATAGCCGAGGCACTGCAGCTTCCCAACTTCAAGGAAAGTGTGCAAGAGTACAGGAGGGGTGCACAGGATGGCCCAGTCCCGGCAGGTGAGGGGGGCCCAGGAGGAGTGCACAGGACAGCCCAGCCCCAGCAGGTGAGGGGGGCCCAGGAGGAGTGCACAAGATGCCCAGCCCCAGCAGGTGAGGTGGGGCCCTGCAGAGCAGCCGTTCTTTCCTGGACTCAGCCCCCTGCTGCTGTTTTCATAGCATTAAGTAGCCTGCTGGCAGGGTACATTGTAATCTGGCTTTTCAGTTTAATCCTGGGCTTCTCTACATTAGAATTATGGCCATTGGAGGAAGGGGCTCTGGGAAGTTTAAGGATCCCAATTCCTGTGCCCCATCCCACCCAATCAGAGCATTCGTTGATGGCACTCAGGCATTCTTTAGGAGGCACACACTGAGTGAAACAGTTTGGTGAACGCCTGTGGAAAGAGCTTGGAACAGGGACTTGGCTGGCCAGAGATCTAGTCCTGGCTTTGCTGATGCACGTCCATGGAGGATCTTGGCCACATCACTCAGCTGAGGTTGAGGGCCGGGTACAGGTTTTGTAACCAGGTCTCCCTCGATTTGAATCCTGACCCTGCCTCTTACCATCTTCACTGGAGTCCTGGCCCTCTGAGCCTTGTCGCCCTGTGAAACACAGCATTTCCTACCTGGTAGAGCTGGGAGTATCCCACTCAAGTGCATGGTCTTGCAGTGTGAGCTGGATGCAAGGCAGACTCAGCACTCTTGAAATAAATGACAGTTCCCGGCATAAAGACATGTCATGTTTTAAATGTAAAAGAATTACAGCAATTCTTTTGAAGAAAGGACTGTAGAATTTATTTGCTCTTCTCAGATAGCCCTTTGGTGATGAACAGCCTGTGGGTCCCACACTAGTGTAAAGTCCTTTGTGTGGGGGTGGTTACCAGGGACCTGCCAGTTCCCCTCCTGGGAAGCAGGACAGAACTGTGTTCCTTGCCCATCCATCTTCATCTGTTTTTTGTTATTTTTAAAGAATATGTGAGGCTGGGTCATTTATAAAGAAAAGAGGTTTATTTAGTTCATGGTTCTGCAGGCTGAGAATTTAAGGTCCTGGCCCTGGCTTCCAGCAAAGGCTTTCCTGCTGCGTCATCAAGTGGCAGAGGAGGGCAAGTAGGAAGGGGACGCTTGTGAAGAGGGGAAAACCTGAGCTGCACCCTGGCTTTATAACAACCCCCTCCCTCAGGAACTAATCCATTCCCTTGAGAAGTAATCCAGTCTCCTGAGAGCCAGTACTTAACTACTGTGATAACTGCTCCCAGCCACTCAGGAGGGTCCACCCCCACAACCCAAACACCTCCCACTAGGCCCTGCCTCCCAACACCACCATGCAGGGGAGCACATCTCCACATGAGGTTTGGGGAGGAACCAGTGGTACACAAACCATAGCACTCATGGCTGCATGCTGGCTCACATCTGACCCATAGAAATGGATTGTTTTACATGTGTTTTTTTCACAGAGAAAAGTCCATACCCAGAAATCGTCTTCCTTGGAACAGGGTCTGCCATCCCGATGAAGATTCGAAATGTCAGTGCCACGCTTGTCAACATTAGGTATGCTGCTTTCCCACCAAGCGTCCTTCCATCAAGGGCTTGTTTACTTTTTACACACAAGTCCTGCTGCACTCAACCAGTTGATCTGAAAATGCAGCCATAGCAAGCCCTGTAAGTTGTATCTCCACTGGAGTGTCCAGGAGGAGCCGTGGCCTTACAGCATTTCATAGTCTTGGTAGCAAACATTTACTCGGGGAATCACCAAAATTCGTCCCATTATGTCTTTTTCTTTTTTTTTTTTTGAGACGGAGTTTCGCTCTTGTTGCCCAGGCTGGAGTGCAGTGGCACAATCTCAGCTCACTGCAACCTCTGCCTTCTGGTTTCAAGTGATTCTCCTGCCTCAGCCTCCCGAGTAGCTGGCATTACAGGCATCCACCACCACACCTGGCTAATGTTTGTATTTTTTAGTAGAGACGGAGTTTCTCCATGTTGGCCAGGCTCAAACTGCTGACCTCATGATCCACCCTCCTCAGCCTCCCAAAGTGCTGGGATTACAGGCATGAGCCATATACAGCAGTGATGAGATGCGCCCTGATGTCAGAAATGTACGATCTGGGGTATGTTTCTCTATGGATGAGGAATGCAATAAAGCAGCTTGGAGTAAGCTGGGCTTTCACAGGGGCTGAGATGGCGGGAGAAGGGCTTTTTGAGATGCTGACCTGACACCCTGCAAATGGCCCTTGAACTAGCTGAAGCCCATGAGACGGTGCTTTTGCTACCTTGCCACCCCGCTCCCCCCAACCCCCGGAAGGTAATGTCTTAGCCCTGAGGCTTCTCTGCAAATTGGGTGCAGCCCTCTCAGTCTTCTTCATGGCTCCTCCCAAAGAAGGAGGAAGGCCAGAGCAGGCCAGCACTCTTTCTACCTTGAAGCTCTCACTATCTGTTCTGCGAAATGGACTGCACATCAGAATAGCCCAAGAAGCTTGTCAGAATCTAAGCTTCCAAAGCCCTGCCTAAAAGCAGGTCAGAAGCCCTGAGTGAAACCTGGGAGTCTCCATTAACTAGCTCCCTGGATGAAGCACCAGGGATCTTTGAGGACATGAGCTGAGGAAACCCTGGCCGCTTCAAAAGGGGGAAAATCTGATGGCAGCTGGAACTAGAAACAGTCTCGTATGGCCTCGTGCCTGTCCTGGTATCCTCCACAGAGGGTGTGGCCACACCGTCAATCTACTTTGTCAGATTCATTGTTAGGACTAAATGCTTCACACGCCCTATAAACTTTTTTTTTTTTTTTTTATGTCCAGCCTTTGTGTAAGTATACTTTAAAGGGTTTCAGGGTTCCATGGATAATTCTTTGCTATAAAGAGGAGAGACATGTAAAATTACCTTTATGGTTAAATTAATTGGCTCGTATGTTAGCTCCTCAAAGAAAAGCACCAAGAGACAGAAATTTCTACAGCAGCTTCCTGGTCTTGTCCAAAGCAGACATCAGCCTCTGAACTGTCAGCAGCCTTCCCTGTGGCGGTGACTCTCTTGCTCTTCTCTTCTGTAGCCCCGACACATCTCTGTTGCTGGACTGTGGTGAGGGCACATTTGGGCAGCTGTGCCGTCATTACGGAGACCAGGTGGACAGGGTCCTAGGCACTCTGGCTGCTGTGTTCGTGTCCCACCTGCATGCTGATCACCACACGGTGAGTGCTGGGCTGGACCATGAGCCTGGAGGAGGCACTGCCACATTGAGATGGTCCTTTGTCCTTGGCTTTTCCTCCAATTCCCAAACTTGCCCGGAGCTTTTGTTACTCTACTCTAGCAAGGAAATGATCTTTTACAGTTTAGTTCGTTTCCTGCAGCAAGACAGGTTTGGGTTTACCCAGTCTTTCTTGAATCTTGCCTTCTCACACGGCCTGCTCAGAGGAAGCTTCAGCCAGATGCAGGAGGTGTGGCTGTGAGGCCCTCACCTTGGTCTCCTGGGGTGCTGGGCCCTGGGCTGTGCACAGTTAACAATATCCCTCTTCCCAACACGGTCACTTTGCTTTACGCCTCTGACATTTCAGGGTCACGGCACAGGGGGCTCAGCATGTGCCACCCCCACTGCAGCTGTGTTAGAGGCTGGTGGCTGACATAGGGCTGCAACTCCTGCAAGAGGGAGGACTCCAGACCCTAACCCGAAGGAGAAGAGTCTTGGGGCCTGGCTAATGCCTGTCTCCTGTTTCCTTCCTAGGGCTTGCTAAATATCTTGCTGCAGAGAGAACGAGCCTTGGTAAGTGTGGCACTTGATTGATGTTTAGAGTTTCAGTGGTTTACGCATAATCCACCATACCTCTTGGCACTCCAGTTTTTATTGAGATGTTCTGTTGTTGACTTGGCACTTGGATTTTTTGTTTCAGGCATCTTTGGGAAAGCCATTTCGCCCTTTGCTCGTGGTTGCCCCCACACAGCTCAAACCCTGGCTGCAGCAGTACCACAACCAGTGCCAGAAGATCCTGCACCACATCAGGTGAGCGTCCACGGCAGTCCAGCCCCCTGGGCAGCTTGCTGCCCCCTCCTTCAGAAGTTCAAGGTTGACGCTGGGACAGTTAACAATATCCCCCAGCAGCCTTGCCCTTGACATTGTCCCAGATGGCAGAAGCAGGGGGGAAGTGCTTTGGCAGAAAGAAATCATTAGATGGTTCCCGTTTAATGCTTATTTTCTTAGAAGTATTTCTTCCCAGCCCTCATTAGAGTTCTGAGCTGCTTTCTAGACTTTGACCAGCTTTTCTTCATGAGACAATTCCAGAGCCAAGCACCCAAATAGTGGCTAGCACAGAGATTGTCCACACCAGGTATGTGGGCAGCTGGGAGGTGGCACCGTCCTCACCCCAAGGGGAAGGAGTCCCCTCTGCTGGAGTCGGCCGTGGCCTGTGCTGCCTGAACCGGAGGCAGCGTTCACTTGCTGGGTTTCTCCCAGGGGCCTGGAGGCTTTGGTTTGGCTTTTTATGTTTCACAGCTGTTTTCTCATCTTAGTGACTATGATTTAAATCATGTTTCCTCCTAAGAATGGTTTTGGGGCTCTCCAGCCAGAGACTCAAACTTTGGTTCCAGGTGTCCAAGAAATGTTTCTTACCATTTTAAATGTTTTGTCTTCTTATAGTATGATTCCTGCCAAATGCCTTCAGGAAGGGGCTGAGATCTCCAGTCCCGCAATGGAAAGACTGATCAGTTCGCTGTTGAGAACGTGTGATTTGGAAGAGGTAAAGGGCACAGCCACAGGCATTTTGGGGGTGATGTGGGGAGCAGAGCCGCAGGCCCTCCAGCCCTGCCCTTTTAGTTTCAGACCTGTCTGGTGCGGCACTGCAAGCATGCGTTTGGCTGTTCGCTGGTGCACACCTCTGGCTGGAAAGTCGTCTATTCCGGGGACACCATGCCCTGCGAGGCTCTGGTCCGGATGGGTGAGTAGAGGAAGAAGCAAGCCATCGTGAGGTTGCCCTGGGGTTTGTGTAGCTGGCGGTGAATGCAGGTGAGCTTGCAGGGAAACATCAGCAGAGGCAGCAGACTCAGGTCCCCACCCTGAGAGTCTCTGGTTGTTGTCCTAACAGGCAGACACAGGGTCGGGGGGCTGAGTATTGAGACCAGTAAATAGCATGTGACCAAGGGCTGTGTGCTGCCCTCGCAGAGACTTGTGCTTCTTCTCCAGGGAAAGATGCCACCCTCCTGATACATGAAGCCACCCTGGAAGATGGTTTAGAAGAGGAAGCAGTGGAAAAGACACACAGGTAGCAAAGGCCAGTTAGTCCTGGTTGCCCATATCCTCTCCCTCCCGCAGCACGTGAAACTGAGCTGCTGTATGTTTGTGCCTCCTCTGATATGGGGCTGCCCTGCTTCTTACTAAGGGCTGTAGGGGCTTCCTTGACCTGTGGCAATGCTCAGGCCCTTGGCCTTTATTTTTGCAGAATTTTCTAGAGCGAGGTGCAGTTTTTTTAAAGCATTTAGAAATAGGCTGAATAAACTAGAAGCCATGTCAGGGAATTGCCAGGGCAGGTGGGGGCTGCAGGACAGAACGTTGGGCTGTTAATTCCAGTTCCAATGAAAGTGCATTACCCGCGGTGTGGGTCCTATGCTTTCTCGGGTACCCTTGTGGACAGATTCGGCAGCCAACACAGAGGGCGGGCTTCATTCAGGGGAGTGTGTGGAGGATCTGGCCCTAAGGGGAGATTGTGTTGGCTGCAGAGGTGCCCATTAGGAAAACTCACCAGCTTCCCCGGGTGTCCTGGCAGTTGAGGGCCAGGGGCTGTACCACTCTCTGCTTTGCAGTCTTGCACTTGGGTTCAGCTTCAGTCTGCTCTGTCCTTTGCCCGCAGCACAACCTCCCAAGCCATCAGCGTGGGAATGCGGATGAACGCAGCATTCATCATGCTGAACCACTTCAGTCAGCGCTACGCCAAGGTCCCCCTCTTCAGCCCCGACTTCAACGAGAAAGTGGGAATTGCCTTCGACCACATGAAGGTCTGTCTTATGCAGGCAGCATGGGGCAGGGACGGGGCAGGGAGACGGGATGCTACACACTGAGTAGAATGGTCAGCTGGAGTTTGCTTTCTGGTTTGGAGCCACCCCGGGAAAAGGATACCTCCCCATCACTAACCAGGTTGAACCATGTTGGGTTTGCTGGTAAGAACCACCTCCTGCAGGGGCCAGCTAGTCTTCAGTTTCAGTTCACTGGAAATTTCTGAGTCTTTTTAGACCTGGATTGCTCACACAGTCATGGCATTTGAGTCTCAGCACAGACCTGTGAGACAAGTGGTTGCCTCTTATGAGTGGGAAAGCCAGTCCTGACCCCGGCCTTCTGGAATAAGGGGCAGGGCACGAGCCAGGCCTGGATTTTCAGGAGCCTGATTTGAGAGCATCTGGACTGCCCTCCCTCCCTTCTCCTGAGGCCCTTCCTTCGCCAGGCCTGGGGAGCCTCTGACCTCTTCTCTAGATGGCTGCCTCCATGCCATTCTTTTTTCCATTTCAACTGTGGCCCACTGGCTTGCACTCAGTAAGAAAGGGGAGTTGGCGCTGCCGTATGGGCACATGATTGCCTCCCTCCCAGCTCCTGTCCCCCACCCCTGCCCCTCTGAGGCATGGCTTTATCTTGTGTTGTGTCTTCTAGGTCTGCTTTGGAGACTTTCCAACAGTGCCCAAGCTGATACCCCCACTGAAAGCCCTGTTTGCTGGCGACATCGAGGAGATGGAGGAGCGCAGGGAGAAGCGGGAGCTGCGGCTGGTGCGGGCAGCCCTCCTGTCCAGGAAGCTGGCAGGCGGCCTGGAGGATGGGGAGCCCCAGCAGAAACAGGCCCACACAGAGGAGCCACAGAGCAAGAAGGTCAGAGCCCAGTGAAGAGCTGGAAGTGACCCTGGACTCTGAAGGCTGTGTGTCTCCTGTCTCACACACTCCCTTGTATCTGCCCTCCTTGCTGGTAGAAGCTGGACGGTCCACCCAGGAGGCAGCTCAGGATGGGTGGTATGGAGTTGTGCCAAGGTTGGACTCCCAGATAAGCACTGGTCCATAGACACCTCTTATAACTTGTGTCTGGCAGAGCCGCGGAACAGGAGGCTGCTACACGGAAACAAGCAAATGAACTAATTCCATTGCAAGGCAGTTTTTCAGGAAGTCATGGAGACACAGACAGCAGAGTGATTCCCCTGGACACCAGAGACAAGCCACGCAGCAAGAACACTGGGTCTAAGGGTCCGAGACCCAACGAGAATAGTATTTCAGCTTCAATAAAGATTGAGTTTGGAATTGTGAGTTCTTTCGCTTCCTCTGCTGTGGTCACAGAGCGGGGTTTGCTGCACGCTGCCTTGGAGGAGGCTCTCTGTGCTGCAGGTGGCAGCTGCTTGGTACCCAGGGGCCTTGGAAGTCGGCTCCCATTGCATGAGTACCTCTGGAACCTGTCCTCAGAGAGCCACCCTCACTCACCAAGTCTTTTGACAGAACTCATGCTGTGGCAGCTGACAGCCGGGCATGCTTTACCTATCATTGAGAGCCTGGCCAGGCTCGTGTCATTGGTCAGGGAAACGCAGATCTTCTGGTTGTTGTGGGTAAAAGTGGAGACAATAGATTTGCTGTCTCTTGCTTCCATGCTGAGAATGAGAAGCACTTTGCCCTTGAAGGTTTTGAGAAATGTCACACTAGGCTGGTTTCCTTTGCCCTCCTTGTGGGATTTACAAACGCGGATTAGTGCTTGAAAAATTGAAAGCATGTTCAAATTTGAATCTAGAATTTACTGTGTATCCTCCCTACCCTGGAGAGTATGAAAAGAGCTTTAGAAACTCAAGGGACAAGCGAGAGATAACCAGGGACTTGGCTTGACACTGGTGGTGACCTTCGGGCTGCCTCCTGGCACGCATTTGAGATTGACAGCCATGTCCCCACAGGTTTATTAAAGTGAGAACGGATGCCAAGGTCAGGGATAATAAATCTATTTTAATAACATTACTTTTGACAACGATTTGTACATATATTTAAAGATAACTTTCAACCCCCACCCTTACCCTAGACTCCATTACAAATTGAGGCGTGAACTGCCCTTGCCAGGAAGTGAGCAAAGCTGTAACATCAAAAGTCTGCACGTCCCACTCGGAGAAGGGTGACTTTACACTGTGTTGGGAAAAATAACTAAGCATTTCAGTTTTTCATTGTACACCTGTACATTGGTTTAGATTGAATGGCTCAAATTAAACAAATATAGAGAGATTTCATATATACAAATATTATATCATGTATAGGTATATTATATCTATTTTAAAAGGATAAAATTTTAAACTTTGACGTTGCATGCATGGACCACATCTTTTCTCACTCCCCTAATCCCCCGGTGTGAAGAGGCTCCCCGGTGCCCTCCCGGCCCTCGTCCCCATGACTGGATGGGACTTCATGAGAAGGGATGAGCGGCTGACGCTGGTGAGCAAAGCAGGCCACACCACAGGCCAAGCCCGTGGGCCGGTGTCTCCGTGGCTGGTTTTGCTTTCCTCCACATGCTTTGGGTAATGTAATTATTGCTATTCAGTTTTAACCTCCAGAAGGAAGAGACAGGCTCTAGGACCCCACAGACAGTGAGCTGGGTGCGTTCAGGTACCTAGAGTGGTAAAATTACTCTCATACAGCCAATCTTTGGGGTCATGGAGGCCACCTTTGGGCCCTCCAGACACTGTCAGGATTGTTTTGCAGATTCAGAAGTATAAAATGATTGTAATAGGAGCTTTCAGTCACACAGTGGAAAAAGGAAAACTTAGGAAATGAAACAAATTTTGTTTTCAGCCATTTACTTTGGAGCCTACTGAAGGGGTGGCCTGAAAGGTTGTCCAGTGGCAAGCCCCCCTGCCACAACCAGTAGCTGGCAAAGGGCAGTGCCCCAAGACTGCTAGAATCCTGGACGTGATCCAGTTGTGGGTGAAAGGGCCTGCTGTCCTGCTTCCTTGCTGTGGCTGTTAAACTGATACTGCCAGACCCGACAAGAGCTGCCCAAGGAGAAGGTGGCCCTCAGGTCCAACCAGGCAAAGCAAGCCTCTCCCACACCACCCCAACAAAGGACGTTCCTGACCAGCCTGGGGTGGAGAGGTGGGTGCGGCTTGGCATGGAGGCTGAAAGTGGATCAAAAGAGGCACAAAGTCAAAAGGCAAAGGTCAAACAAAAGGCCGAAGTCACCACCCAAAAGGAACAAACAAAATCTGCACCACCAGCATCACCACACGGACTGGAGATCACAAGTTTCTGCAACTCCAACTTCATGTTGGCAGTGGCAGGAAAGAGCCAACAGAGAACACTTGGCAAGCTCACAGACGCTGCTCCTGGCGGCGTTCCTGGGGCCCGTGATGTATGTACACGCGAGTCAGGATGGGCAGTACCATGTCAGAGGGCGGTGCTCTCAGACTCCTCCTCCGAGTCCCTCTTGTCAGTCACTGAGTGTCGCCGCACGTGCTCCAGGGGACTCAGGCGGAGTGTGGACCCGAGCTCTATGTGGATCGAGGGGATATCAAAGTGGACAAGATCTGGAAGGCGGCAGAGAGAGGTGGTTGAAAGGGGGCTTCCGGGCAAATGTGAAGCGAGTTGCAGGCAAATACAGTCAGCCTTAGGAAGCAGGGGTGGTGCTATTCTAGGGATAGATCATTTGGAGGTTGGTTTAAGCATTTGGTTGCACAGTCGGGTTGTGGTCATGCCTGCTTCGATTCTACCCCATACATTGGTAGAACCAAAGCACCCAGGATGTGCCGCTGTGGTTCAGAGGAAGGCCAGAACAGCGCTTCCCTCCCAAGCCACTGGGTGCTTTCTTCTTGATAAGAAGGATGCTGAGTAGGGTCTCAATGACATCTTTTTGGGGATCTATATCAGACTGCATTTCATTCCCCAGAATCTTCAAGGACTGGGCATGAGGCAGTGGAAAAGGACCCCTTTCCCCTCTCAAGCCTGTGAGTGACTGGGGGAACCCTGAGCCTATGTCCTGACTGTAAGAAACACCTGTATTTTGGATGGCTGACGTGGGCAGAGTAGGTCTCCCTCAGGACCCTGGTCGTCATTGGTGCCAACTGTCCCTGACTGCAGGAAACCCCCACCTCTGGTTACATTCTTATTAGGAGCCTTAAAGGATTTTTTTTCCCCGACAAGATGATCAGGAGAAATGTACTTGAAATTAATAGCTCAGTATCTGGACATCTGTAAGTCAGCAGATGACAGAAGTCCTCAGCCTGGCAGCTGAGTGGACACAGAGCCTGTTTGCCACACTACGTTAAAAACAGCCTTGCTGCTGCAGCCTCCGCCCTGGGGGGATGCTGACGAGGCTGAGCTTGCTGACTCCTCTGGCATGTGCTACACGGAGAATCACAGATCCCCTGGGTCCCTTACTCTCGTCATGTGCCTCTTTTGATCCACTTTCAGCCTCCACTGTCCTGTCCTTTGCCTGCTTAGTTTCTTTTTTTTGAAACTGAGTTTCCCTCGTCACCCAGGCTGGAGTGCAAGGGTGCGATCTCAGCTCATTGCAACTTCCACCTCCCGGGTTCAAGTGATTCTTCTTGCCCCAGCCTCCTGAGTAGCTGGAATTACTGGCGTGCACCACCACACCCGGCTTTTTTATTATTAATGTTTTATTTTTAGTAGAGATGGGGTTTCACCATGTTGGCCAGGCTGGTCTCCAATTCCTGAGCTCAGGTGAATCACCCACCTCGGCCTCCCAAAGTGTTTGGACTACAGGCATGAGCCACCACGCCCAGCCTGCCTGCTTAGTTTCTGGACCTCACTTAGCCTTGGGAGACCGGGAGCAGCACTCCAGGAGGCAGAGGAAGGGAACAATGTTCAGACTGAGGAATACCATACCGAGTGTACAGACATACATTTGGACACTGTCCTGAAAGACATCATACAAACACGGAAGCTCTGGGACAAAGGTCCTCCCTTGCCCCACCCCTCAGGCAGTCCTCATGTCCTTCTGGTCTCCGTTTCACTGCCTGATGGAGAAGCAGAGATTTGGGAGGTGGGGGCTGGAGGAACAGCCAGTGCCACTGAAGCAGTGCCCTTCCCCCATTGCCTGGGTCATCTGCCTGCACAGGCGTGACGCTGAGTGGCCTGGGGCCCACCTCACTGTACAGGGTTCACTATCAGGTAAGAGCACAAGCTCCCCTGTTTAGATTAAAAATCCCAAATGTGTCTGGCAGGCAGAGCGTGACCTTGGACAAGTTTCCCGCCTTCCCTGTGCCTCAGCAGTCAAATGGGAATAGTACAGGGAGGTGATGAGTTTAGACGGGCCCAGAACAGGCACTCGTGCGAGTTATACTCTTATCCTTGCTGCAACCTTAAAGAGACCCCCAAGAGAGAAGAGTCACTAAGCAAGGGAATGGGATTCAGGGGCAGAAGCCCTCATCAGCATTCCTGGGAAAAGGGACTCAGTGGCTGCCTGTTTCCAGGCCAGTATGGAAGCACCTGGCAGATGCTATCTGTGAGCACCAGATACCCTGGTGCCTCTCACTAGTCTCTGCAGGACCACGGGCCAAATTGGGGAAAAGACCTGGCTTACTCCAGCTACCCCTACTTTCAGAGGCAAAATACACCTAAGTCCCGCTGGCGTCCTTGACATCCCTCCCTCAGTTATGGTTTGAGCATTTACTCTTTAGAGGAGGAGGAGACCAACAGATACTGATATAAATGCTCCCCCAAATTGTATTGAGTTGGACAGAAAGAATCTGTTGGGCATATCCACTGGGGATGAGGGAGAAGGGGAGCAGGATGGACGCTGATATGGATTCTTCAGGATGTGCCAGCAGTCTCATCCCGGAAGAAGCCAGACATTAGGATCTAAGTCTAGGAGGGGAGATGTGCTGGTACAAACTCAGGGACACAGAAAATGGGGTCCAGGCTGTGGTGTGGACCCGGTGCCAGGTTGCACCAAGGATGGCCTCCTCTTGAGATGGCTTCCTTTTTTTTTTTTTTTTTTGAGACGGAGTCTCATTCTGTGGCCCAGGCTGGAGTGCAGTGGCTTGAACACGGCTCACTGCAACCTCTGCTTCTGGGTCCCTGCAATTCTCTGCCTCAGCCTTCGAGTAGCTGGGATTACAGGCGCCCAGCACCACACCTGGCTAATTTTTTGTATTTTTAGTTGAAACGAGGTTTCACCATCTTGACCAGGCTGGTATTGAACTCCTGACCTAGTGATCCACCCGCCTCAGCCTCCCAAAGTGCTGGGGTTAAAGGCATAAGCCACCACAACTGGCCTGGGGCGCCTTCCTAAACAAAGGTGAGCAGGTGCATGTCCCCCAGGG